AGTTCGTGCTCATGGAGGAACACGCATGTTATTACGGCTTGGGCATGGATGCTCTAGATTTGGGAAGCTTTCGAACATGAACGTCATTCTGGTTTGGGCATGGATGCTCTAGATACCGTATCCCCTCGAACACGAACGTTATTATGGTTTGGGCATGGATGCTCTAGATATCGTAGCCTCTCGAAGCTTCAAGGGTTTTTGACATTTTGGGCCTCGACAATTTAGAGGAAGACAGGAAAGTATTGTGATTTACAGGACTTCGTGCTCATGGGGGAACACGTACAGTATTACGGTTTGGGCATGGATGCTCTAGATATGGTAGGCTCTCGAACATGAACGTTACTATGGCTTGGACATGGATGCTCTAGATATCGCAGGCTTTCGAACATGAACGATCACAAAAACCACCGCCCTTTTAACGTGGCGGGCCCTATTTTTAGTATTGCATACTGTTATTATTAGTATTATTACTATCAGAAGTTCAAGGATTGCTGTGTTGACCAGGCACAGCAGCGTCTCCGAGAAGGCTTCAAAGAGGCGGGGTACCACCGCAATGAGGCGCGGCCAGCAATTCTCCTTGAGCGATGAACGGCTGGCTGTGAACAAGTATTAGGGTTTAGGGATTTAGGGGTCTAGGGTTCAGGGTTTAGGGTTTCAATAAACCCTTTTCCTATACAGATTATAACAGGGATCCTAATATTAAGGCCCTAAAAAAGGAGGGGGTTTATCAATCACGGGTCTACATTATGAGTCCGCATCCAATTCGCCCGGCATCGCATTCGCTTCCCAGTGGATGAGGCCCTGATTGATGTAGGAGGTGTTGCCCTTCAAATCATGTTCGCAACCCCATGGATTTGGATGGAAGCATGGGAGGCAGCACAAGGTAACCAACATGTAAGCTTGTTGGTGGTCTATCCCCGTGTATATACCACACCGGCCATACCTTCAGCAGCGTGGCTGACAAGGAGGCGGGGCCATCTTGCACTGTTGTCTTGTTTAGAGTGACTCCCACCTCAAGGGCAGTGGCGTGTCACCTACAAGTTGAATGTGCGACCAATGTGCCAAGCCCTTCCAAGGCTGTTGGTTACAGCTTGTAGGCATTAAGTCTCTGCTAAGCGTTCAGGAGACAAGGCATGATTGAGTACAGAGGAATGTGCGCAAACTGGAAATATGTTGTTCTCACCTTCCCGGCCGTCACGAAACCGCGTTCGCTTCATCAAATGCCTGAACGCTCGGGAGGGCTAAAACTGGAGACGACATGCAGGCAATGGAGTAAAGCTGAACAACTCACCGTGCTTCGTCGCCCAGCTTAGATTGATACCAGGCCTTCAAACACTTAGCGAGATGTATCGACTCCCGTGTGAGGCAACTTTGCACATTTTGAGCGCCGCTGTCTTTGAACGCGCCTGTCTTGCAAGTGGCTGGCTGACGAAGTGTGCTGCTGAGGCGGATGGGCACATCAACATGGGCATGCAGCCTGCCCGACGTTGAAGGTGCACATTTGTCAGGAAGGGGACCAGATTGAGCTATATTCGTGCAGATTGTGTAACCTCCCTTCCGCCCCTTCGGGCAAAAAGTGGACTTTCTGTAGCTCGAGTTTTGGACAGCAATAGAACTGGAGGCCCATGCAAGGCGAGGTCGCCGAAGAAGCTGCGCTTAGACGTGCAGAAGCCCCTGCCTCTTCCTCAGGGTCTCAGGGTGTTGTCGTCTGAAAGTTATGATGATAGTAGTAGTAGTAGTAGTAGTAGTAGTGGTGGTGGTAGTAGTAGTAGTAGTAGTAGTAATAATAGTAGTAATAGTAATAGCAGTAGCAATAGGTGGAAGCTCGCTGTCAGCACCTTGGCCCCGGCAGGCTCAAAAAGCGCCCTGTGACGCTCCCGCGCCGCAGCGAGGAAGCTTGTTTTTGATCAAATCGTGTTGAAATATAGGGGATATATCGGGATACATGGGGACTATATAGGGTTATATAGGGCCCAAATGGTGGGATTTGTAGCTTAGACTTTTCCAAGGTTCATCTGTCAGATGGAGGGAAGTGACAGCTGCCTTTCTTCCCGAAAGGTAGCGGGACCCAACATGTCTGTAGGAGCCCCTAACATTCGGGGGTTCCCCTAAATTAGGGGTACCTTTTTGAGGGGTCCTTATAATAAGGATTATAAAATTTGGGGGTCTACTATATTGCGGTCCCCCTTAGTTAGGGAAACTAAAGCTGCCATTCCTCCTGCAAGAGGACCGGCAACCTTTGAAGTCGGTCCTTCGGCCTCCTAGGCCGGGCGGGCCGGTGCAAGAAGATTGGAACATAGGAATTATATTGGGATAGTGGAAAGGAGAAGGGAAACTACTATGTTGTAGGGGATGACTATAGCCTATGATAGATATATAGGGATTATATTGGGATAATGGAAAGGAAGATGGAAACTACTACATTATGATAGGGGACTTATATAGAGGGATTATATGCATCGTCCGGAACATGATGTTTCAGTCTGGCGTTGCATCGGGCGTTTGAGATACTATTGGAGGCAACTTCCTCCCCCAACTTTCTGGACACGAGCAGTGGCCTCTGTTCATAATAATAACAATAACAATAGCAATAATAATAATAATAACAATAATGATAACAATAATAATAAGAACAATAACAATAAGAATAATAACAATATTAATAACAATAATAATAACAATAACAATAACAATAAGAATAATAACAATAAGAATAATAGCAATAATAATAACAATAATAATAACAATAATAAGTAACCCTGACAGAGGCATGTCGCCTGGCTGTGATGCATGCGTGTCAGATGCAGTATGGCATGCAATGTGCGTTAGTTGGATCTGTCAGCACCAAATCCATCCGCCCCAAAGGCAACCTCACAATCATGAGGTCCGCCGCAAGCTGGCGGCCTTTGGCTGCCGTTTGCGACGGCCAAGAGGTCCATGCCTCGGGGGAGCAGCAAGTGATCTTTCCTCTTTTGAGCCGAAGGTGATAGTAAGTACAAGAAGTGTTCTCAAGATTACCCAAGTGCAGCATCATGTGAGCGACTACCGACAGGCTTTGCCACCTAAACGAGTCTTTGGGCCCAGCCATGGTACTGTATCAAACAAGTGTTAGCAGCTTTGTTTACCTACAGGGAAGCACAGGACAGATGCTGAAATGCAATGCCCCTCTTGACGTCGATTTTTTGCCTTGCGCCGCGGTGTCTTTAGTGCCTGGACGACCAAGACAAAAGGCTCTGACAAGCGTTGCTGCAAGAACCCCTGGAGGCTCAAGTCAAGTCGGCTTTCAGCCCTCCGTGCGCGTGCTGTCCTACCCTCGTAAGCTTTGCGGCCCAGTCCTCAGCAAAACAAGTTCCGCGGAGCTTTATGACTTTCTAGCGGCAAGTTCCGAGCGGTGCGCAGTGGCAGATGTGCAAAGTGCGTGAAAAAAGAGGGCTAGGTGGCGAGTAGTCGAACAAAAATGCGGCCGCAGCTACTATGCATCCCTGACAGTCATCCCACCCTGGAGGGATAACGGAGTGTCCTCCATGAAGTCCCTTGCAACCATTTTGTGTGAGCGCGGCTTAGCATCAGGCGGGGACGGTGTACCAACGGACGGCTCGCCCATTGCTCTGGGCCTTGGGGATGTTGCGACGGAGAATCAGGCTTCGGGAGCTCTGCGCAGGCAGTCTGGGTTGCTGTTAAGGAACTTAAATTAAGTTACTATATTGGGGAAACCTTATTATTTACTATATATACCCATTATGGTAGCTTTATGTAAGTTCCTTAACAGCAACCCAGCAGTGCAGCGCGCAGAGGTTGAAGACGTTTGTGCAGGTCGCTCTCAACCCTGGTCCGCGGGTGCCATCAGATCAAATTTCATGGATGCCTGCAGAGATGCGTCCCGGGCTTGGGCTTAGGGCTGAAACTGTTCAATCTATATAAATTTATATATGTATGGCTGTCAAAATTATGGTCTCTTTTTGGGTACCCTAAATATTAGGTGCCGTTTTATGATAGGAATCCAAATAGGGCCATAATTTTGACAACCACCCATATACCTATCCCCTAGTGTAATATAGTAGTTTCCATTTTCTTCATTTTCTTCTCCATGATCCCAATAGAATCCCTGTATATCCATTATAGGCTATATTCATCCCCTACAACATAGTAGTTTCCATTCTCTT